ATACATACACACATACAGTGTGTGTGTATATATATACATGCACACACATATTCATGTGTGTGCATGTGTATTTCTCTTAGGTAGAGGTTAGGCACTTTAGCTTTTGTGTGAAGAAGCAGATTTATTGTGCAACATCTGCAAAATATACAATGCTGCTAACGCTCAAGATGTATGAGCCTCAGGATGGTGTGTGTGTGTTTTCTTTTTGCTTACTGTACATGTGGTTGAGGGTGTGTTGGTGAACATCTCCAGCCTTTGGCCACTTTAGCTTGAAAAAACATATATATTTCATACACACAAACACAACTTTACACACCTACAGCCTGCTGCCCCTGCCATGTTTGTCCCACAGGGAGATTCTCAGACTCACTGATGTTGGAAAAGAAAGAAAGAAAGAAAGGTCTTTTCTTTGGTAGTTTATCCAAAGACATTACCATAATACTTTGATAATTAAAGTGATTTTTTTCTTTCACTGGCGTTGACTGCGATGTTTTCTGTCACGTTGTTCACAGCCACTTGTCTTGTTGTCAAATCAAACATTTCTACATGTCTTTACAAAACACAGGGCTTTTCACACATGTACTGGAAGTGTTGTTGTGTCACATTAAAAAAAACCAAACAAACAATTTCATTAAAGTGTTCAAACTATGACCCTGTGACAAAGACAATATTTGAATTTGATAAGTGAGTCATCAGACATGACTAGCCGATGACTGAGCGTGTGGAAATGAAAGGAGAAAATAAAGACCAAACTAAAACCCATTAGAGAGCAGGCACATGGAGACAAAAGACTGGAGTGACAGAGAAAGACAAATAGTGTCGGTTGTTTTTATTTATTTTCCTGAACCTTGTATGATGCTTGTAAGATGAATTCTAAAAAAAGAAAAAAAAAAAAAAAACAGGATTTAAATATTTTTCTGACGAGTGGGAATACATGAAACTGGCTTATTGTCTTGTCCTAATAGATGGACAATGTTTCATTTTAAAACGTAAAAAAATAAATTAAAAAAAAAATCCTGCTGGTATTTGCTGTCTTAAGTGTTTTGTACCTTAACATACTGCTATAATTTTGGTTGATTTTTAACAAACCCTTAATTCCTCACTAGACTCTGAAAAAAAAAAAAAAAAACAGGAGAACGACACATTGTTTATGCAGCGGACCAGAGGACAAACTAAACAAACATTATAACAAACAAGTGCAGCATAATGGATGAGCCAACTCCTGGGGCAAGACCCAGCCAACCGCCCACATCTCAAGGACAAAGAACAGCCCTCCAAGGATGGAGAGACAGATGGTTAAACAATTGAGAGAGTGAGTGGCCACAGGAGGCAGATGGAAAAGAGCAAAGGTGTGTGAATGAGAGCTGGTGAGAGACAACCATGTACAAACGCAGGAAACAGCTTGATAAAAGTAAAAACCAGGGCCTAAAAACGTGACAGGGATAAAATAAGAAGTAAACAATCACGGACAGCAATAATAATAATGAAAAAATAACGTTAAGTGTTAGGGAATGGGACAAAACAAGAGAGTGACACAGAGGAGTTTGTAGCAAAGAGCAGATCAACAAGATTGATTTCCTCTATTTCTCCTCCCCTTTCTCTCTTCTCCCTGGAAAAGCTCCCTAAAGTCTTTGGATTAATGGCTCCATTTCTGCTACTCGTTCATCAGACTCAGGGAGGAACACCAAAACGCAGTGCTTCACAAGGTTCTCCCCTTATCTAGATATCTACTGGAATTATCCAGTGGACACTTGGGCTCTTTGGAAGGCAGAGAAAACAACTTTATCTCTAACCTTGGGTCAAACAGTACATGTTCTGTTAGGCCAAGATAGTGGATGAGACATGGCAGCCTGGAGGTTGCCAAGGTCTGCCAAGGTGTAGACTAACAGACTGAATTCTACTATATAATACGCAGTATAAACCATGTGTACGGGGATTTTATTGAAAGACGCTGCAGTTCAATGTACTGTATTTGAGAAATGTGTCATGAAATAACCTTCAACAAATAGACATTTGGGTTACAACATAAATTAAATGACATTCTGAAACTTTGCACTGATTTGTTTATCTGTTCGGTGAGAGACATTTGAATTTACTTTTATGTGAACAACTGAGATTGTAAAAAAAATAATGCAATAATGCATTTTGGAAAAAAGGATTCTGTCCTATCTGTACTGCACTTTCATTTTAATGGAGACCAGAGAGACCACACACACGACCTCCGCTTCTCCACAGTGGGACAGAGTCAACATTTGGCTGCACTGCCTGTTCGGCATCGTTAGCCAGCTGTGTTAAAACATCCATTCACAGTGTGTGAGTGCTAACATGTCAACCATAACCCCATTCTAACAAATGGTACTAGCTATGTGGGTTACCAGAGGTATTGTTCTGTGTTCCCTTCACATCCTCACACACTTGTTTCCCTCACACTCACACATTCACAGCTACTGCTTCAAACAGTATTTAACACACTACACACACTGAACAAAGAGGAAATTACAAATGAATGAGAACCTCAAAAATATGATACTGCAATAGCTCTCTGCACCTGTAGGGGGGTCAGACCCTACTTTGGGAACTAAATCTTGAACCTCAAAATGCTTTTGCATTTGCCTTTACACTCATGTCCAACATGTCCAAACAATTATAAAGCTGTGAGTTCTACTGAGAATCAGAAAAAATGCAAAGGAGTTGAAAAAAGACGGAATCTAAGGAAAATAGAAAAAAAGATGAGAAAGAATAAATCAGAAAGATAGAACAAGTATTTTTCATAACCAAAGAGAAAAAGTCTCCCATGAGCAGGCACAGAGGCATTGCTTACAACCAGCAAGTCAACATTATCTCTGGAAAACAATGCAATTTAGAAGCACAGTGCATGAAATGTGTGACGATATGAAAAATTCAATTTTGGGACGTAAAATTATGCAGTTAAAAATGAAAAGATTTCCCTTCAGTGTTTTTAAAAAGTTATGGAGTGGTCAGAGTAAATAAACAAATAGATTTTCATTTTTAATATTACGGGTCAAAAAGAGTCACACTGAGAATAAAGTAGATTTTTTTTTTACCCCTGGTTCATTAATACAAGCTGTAGCCGCCAGGCTGGTCAGCAGTGGTAACAAATGTTGTGTCACTGTGGCCAAGCGCGTAATAAAATAAAAAGAATTAAAGTCACATCAGGGACGAATGCAAAGAGAACAGAATCATTCTTCTATATTGTACAATTATTCAAAAGTTATTGATGTCAAGTTTAAAGCGAAACCATTATGAAACAGCCGACGTCTTAGTTAAACCAAATCAGCGTCAGCCTGTGTGCTGAGTGAGTCATTAGCTCTCTGTGTGTTGACCCAGTGAGTGGGCCACATCGCCATCACCTCCCGCTGCTGCCTTGTCAGACAAACGTCAACCTGCCGCAGTGTAAATTATTTTAAGGGGCCTTTAAAGGTACAAACACAGGCTGTTCTACATGTGAACGACCACTGGGAGTCGAAGGACAAATAAAAGTCAAATCTCAACAAATGCCATTTATTAACGCTGTCCACACATCTGATCACATATTTACACTGTCATCCTTTGTGTTTTTTTTCTTTGTGCATTAATTTTTAAATTAATTTTTAAAGAGTTTTCTTTAATAATGTGTATTTATATCAGTGCCCTTTATTACACTTTTTTAGCTGCTTTTTTTTTCTTTTCTCCTTGTTGGAGACATTTATTGTCTAATGTACTCGAGGTCAGGTCTACAGTCTAAAAAAATACAAAAGCAAAACATTAGAGGTTTATATAGCGAAGATATTTCTGAGTTGATGCATCGACAGTGAAGATGACAAATCAAACTCTCAGTGAATTTGATATCACAATTAAAAAGCAGAAATTCTACTGCAGGAGAATCTGTTCATTGAGGTTTATTTTTACAGTTGGACAAGTAGAGGGGAAATACTGCAGTACTTGCGAGTACACAGTCGTTCCTTCTGCTTGTAATCAGGAGGTGATAGAACCTAATTAGGCAAAGAGAAAGATCGGTTTGAACGAGCTTGTTAATCTGCAGTCAGTTGTAGGGATGAGAGCCCATATGGTTAGAACAATTGAGCCTGTGTGTGTGTGTGTGTGTGTGTGTGTGTGTGGCTGTTTTTATTGTGCGTGGGATATATTTGAGTCTTGCTGGTTGTCTGTGTACAGGGACGGCCTTTGTGGCTTTGTTCTTTCATCTGTGTGTCTGTGTGTGTTATTGTATAAGGCAGTGATAACACCTGAGGACACCAGGACTGATGTGGTCATCTGAGGCCTGGGCCTCTTGGCTGTGCACTGATAAAACACGGCCCAGTGGTCAGAGAGGTTGTCGGTTCCATGCCTGCTCTGAACCTGTTCCAAGCACCTGAATGAGCTGATGGCATTAACTGGGGACCTCATGATTGATTAAAAAGAAGAAGAAGAAGAAGAAGAAGATTGCAGTATCATTTGAGCAACAAGTTAATTACCTGCACCTGTAGAGTCTGACTGTTCAGAAGTGAAACAACTGGATTTGGTGTCACAGGAAAAACAAAGAACGGAGTTTCTGTGTTTACTTTAATTCTAATGTACTGCACAGCTGCTTTGACCTTTTCTAAATAACACACTGCTGCGGCGTCGACTTAGAGGAACTGTGTACTGTGAAGTTTCACCTCATACTGTGGAAGTTCAGCTGCTTTCTTGACCTCAACCTTATCATTTGGACTTCAGTGCAGGGAGAAAAACAGGAAACACACGTCTTTCTCCTTGTCATCGTAATGGGATAAAAAGGCCGAAGCTTTTATTTCATCAGTGAGGACTGATGTGAGGATCAAATGATTCCACTGTAACTGGAACATCAGACTCTGACGTCCAACAAAATCACCGCCTGGTCCTGACACTGGTCTCAGCAGTGAAGTCTAATAACCGAGTGTGACTTTTTTTATCCTGTCACTCTGCTGTATTCTATGGTGATTTTACTGAAACACTGGTATTTCCCTGTCTGTCACTGGTTTCAGATCCTGTCCATGGTCCACAGAACGTGGATGTGGTGGATGTCAGAGCCCGTCAGCTGACAATACAATGGGAGACGTTTGGATACGCTGTCACTCGCTGCCACAGCTACAATCTGACGGTAGGTACAGCCGCTCAATGTGATTGACACCAGGGGCGTTTGACATCACTTTCATTTTCAAATACAGAAAAAAAGGATGAAAAGATGTGATGGGTCCAGATATTAAATGTATAAATTAATGTATCTGACTATTGTCAGGTGACTAAATGTCTGTCTGAAGCACTGACTCTCTCTCTCTCACTTTCTCTCTCTCTCTCTCTCTCTGCTGGTGTTCCAGGTGCAGTACCAGTATATTTTCAACCAGCAGGAGTTCGCAGCAGAGGAGTTGATCCAGACCTCGTCACATTACACTCTGAGGGGACTGAGACCCTTTGTTACGGTCAGACTGCGATTGGTCCTGGCCAACCCTGAAGGCAGTAAGGAGAGCGAGGAGATAGTCAAACAGACAGAGGAGGACGGTACGTATCGTACAGACGGGTTCAAACTCCAGAACTCAGGTCTTTAGACAGCGACATAAATAGAGAAGGATTGAAAGGATCCTGCACTGCAGTAACTGCAGAACTCACAACTTTTAAGCCTTTGTGGTTTCAAGTGAGAATTTGAAATTGCACTGTTAAATTGTAAAGACTGATGGAAGAGTTCAAATCTATATGTAGATGTATTGGTAGGATTCACTCCTGCCATGCAGAAGGATTTGAGTTTTTCACCCATGGGATCACCTGAGATGTCTGGTAATATATAAATAAAAATTACTGATAACACAGTATTTCGACTAATTACTAACTATTCTTTCACTGTGACTCATTTATCAACACAGAATAACAAACATGATCAAAAACTAATTCTAGAAGAAAAAATCTCTCAAAATATGTCAAAAACAGTTGGGTACCACGGGTCCAGACACGAAAGTGATATTATTTGTACATCTTACCTTGAAATAATCTCATAATCATAAGCTTCACCAGTCATACTGTAATGACTGGAGACTAAAATCTAAAATGTTATTATTTAATGATTATTTTTCAACTTTAAAAAAAAAACTTTTTAAATGGTCTTTTGAGGGTTTTGCATCAGCAAATACAACAGGTAATTACCAGCTCTACCTCAACAGGCCGGTGATGAACTGAATAACACAATTCCATTACAGTAAACGCCTAATAAGCAGAATACAATGATCCCAAGTCTCTCATTACCTTCTCAGCCCTTTGGGCTTTCACATTTCCTTCTTTTCTCACCTCTAATATTTATTGTACACATTTATCGGGTACTCTGGACCACGTTCTCCGGATTTCCCACCTTTCATTTACCAAACACACATGGTACACACCTCTATTGGCCTAATCTCTGACAGGAACTCTGCTACTGTTTAATGGAAAAGCAATAGCTTTGGGGAGAAACCAGGGAAGGCTTAATTGTTTTGTTCTTAATTGTTTTTTTTAACATAACCCTCATTAATCTCAGAGTTGTAATTTAGTAATTAGAGAACAGCACAGCAACTGCTCACACAGAGGCTATTGCTGCTGTTTCTATGGTAATTGCCTTACCGAGCCGTGGCTCCTTTAATTGAAGCTCCATACTCCGACACCTCCGTCAGTCTATCATCATATTTGTCCACTGATCTGTGCTGAGGTTAACGACCTCAGGACTGAGGCCCATTTTCAAAAGTGTGCTTTAGAGAATTGTTCCAGAAACTGACGTTTTGTGTTTTGTTCACGTCTGTCACTGTCTACTCCTTAAATCCAAATTGGATTTTTTTTTATCTGACAAAATCTGGGAATGCATCTCACCACAAATTATTCTGATTTGTTCATTTTTGTGATGTTGCATTATTATAACCCCCCTCCCAGACTGAGCTCCGCCCATGGAGACACCTCTGACTACTCACACACACCTGCCTGACATTTGTCATCTACAACCCAAAAGCTAAGAACTGCTGCTCATTCAGCAAAACGCTAAATGATCGCCAGCTATTTTATGTCAACAGCTTAAACATCATGTTGTGGATGGAGTTAGCAGCCTTGGAGGCGACAAGTATGTGGTTCCTCTGGGAATTGAACCCATGACTTTCTGCTGTCTGCTTGCAAGGCAGGCATGCTAACTGCTACACTATTGAATCACCAATAAATGAGAATCCAGCTCAATAAAACAATAAATAAAGATACCATATCTTCAAGCTACACACAGGAACACGCAGATCTTCATTTCATGAAATGTAAAAAAAAAATCCCTCCATGTTGACTTGAAGATGTGAATATTTAGTTTATTCCCGCACATTATTACCATTCTAATTGGCTAAAAACGTCGAAATGAGAAAGTTGGAAAGTGGAAAACAAGGTTACAGTTTTATATTTTTTACTGTGCCTTTATTTTCCACTTACCAACATCTACGGACGAGTGGTGAAGGTTTACAAGAATAAACTGCATTTCTCTCTCAGTATTAGTATACAATCATTTTTTTAAAAATTCAGAGAGAGGGAGGGTCTCATTGATGAATGGGTGAGAGAGAGGGTGGGGGGTGTAATGACGGAAGGTGGGAGTTAATCAACTGTTTATGAAGCCGCTGTTATCTTTCCCATAAAGAGATATTTTGTCAAACAAACACACATTTTTACAGACTAATGCGCTTTCATGGAAGTTTCCATATACAAACGGACACACACACACACACACACACACACACACACACGCAGTGAGCAGTGATAAGGTGCTGAATAAAACTGGCAGCATCTAATTACATTTCTTTGTTAGGCTAATTTGATATGCTCTGCAGCTGGGGGCCTTAATCAACACCTCGGAAATTACTTATCAAAATATTCCTCACTCTGACTCATTTGTCATTGTGCTCACGTGTAATGTGTGCAATTACTGTGTCTGTGCCGGTCAGTGCAAAATGCCATGTCGTGGAGTTCAACGGAGGACGCTGACCCCTACTGTTTATTAGAGCTGTTACTGTACGTCAGGTTTTACCATATCCAAAATGATTCTGAAAGGTCAGGGTAACGCAGCAACAGGGAGGTTACAGCTTACAGCGGGAAGGTCATGGGTTCAAGTCCCAGTGCTAACTAATGGTCTTTCTGTACTGATGCTGCATAGTTTTTTTTAGACCTTAGGTCAAAAACAAAGAGATTGTTCACTCCAAACTGACAGAAACTGGTGTGAATGTGAGTGTGAATGTCATTGTGAATGGCTGTTTCTGGTGTGAATGTCATTGTGAATGGCTGTTTGTACATAGATGCTGTGCTGGACTTGCATCCGTAGAGGGTGTTACCTCCGTCTGTGACAGATGACTAAAAAAATTAATTATGTTTCCATTGACAATAAAAGAGGTAAAAAAACAAAACAAAATAAAACTGTTGTTGTGAAGTTCATTGGTCCAATGTGATTAAAACCAGTGATTAAAAAAAACTGTAATAATTTTTAAAACTCAAATTAGTTTAAGGAAGATGGAAAACAAACGTTATTAGGCATCACTGTGTCCTGTTGATATTTACTGCAGTAACACCATGAAGAACTGCGGTCCAGTGACTTAACACCCCTCTTCTCATACGATGTCTCCACATCCCAGAACAACAATGGCCCCGAGGCCTATTAATGTTACTAAGAAGGATGAATGATAGTGAGTTGAACTCTTGAATGTGCCTTAATGCGACATTAACATGCAACATTACAGAAACCAATGGCCATAACCAAAAAGAATGGTACGTTTGAAGTCAAAGCTCTGAACGCTGTGATGTTAATAAACACTTTTCTCCGCCGTAGAACATGGCATCGTGTTGCATTTCAGAGAGTTTTCTCCGCTCAGTCAGTGCTGCAGCAAATCAAGCTTAACTTCCTCCATCACTAACATCATGTTCAGCCGAGAGCAAACATTAAAGACCAGAGATCACAGGATGGAAGAAAGTATTCCTGCAAGTACTGGAAGATCAGAAAGATGAAAGGGAGGAAGTAAAATAAGAGGTGATATTGGAAAGTAGGCAGAGGTTTCAACAGGGCGTTGAGATTTGTGCTTCCTGGCTCTGTATTCATCTCTTCAGAAAAAAATAAATAAATATCGCTCCTCATAGTGTGTGCCTGTAGTGCACGAACACTTTTGTGCTTTGGGAACGTGCAGAGAGAGTAGGGATGATTCTGTGTGTAGCTGTGTGTGTGTGTAAGGCTGCTTCTCAGCCTCACTCCCTGACAATGTGTCTGACACATTTCTTCTGTCTGCATGCCTTCATGAAGCCCGAGCCACACAACAGCCTGTCTTTTCCTAAAAAGACCCACAGAGGCAGGAAAATAACCTCAGCTACAACAGAAGCAACAACAGAAACAGCAACAAAAAACTGCTCAACCTTACGCAGGGGCAGCTTTACCATATGCTGTGTGTCCTCTGAGCAGCACATACTGACTTCTGTACAGAGACTTCAGTGGAAGATTGTCTTCACAGTCAGGAGTCAAGTGCAGTTGTTAAACTGTCTGGATGAACCAGAGCTGATGGAGCCGTCACTGGCCAGGCTCACTCTAGTCATACACTGTATTTATGTGTGTGTGTGTGTGTGTGTGTGTGTAGTCGTTACTAAGTTCACACTGCAGGTGATAATGTCAAAGTGATGTTTGGTCTTTGCCATTTTTTATCAGCACGGTCTTAGCTTTTAATGTTGGGAAATGTAAGCAGAATAAAAGAGCGGTAGGTCTAACTTCTGACATCTGCTGGTAAACAAGGCTTGCTGCATAGTGGTTAAAGGACCAAGTTTAAAGAGGATTGTTGGTATATATATATAAATAAATATATATATATATATATATACATTTACATTACTTTTACTGTTTACCGTACATATACCGTTTCTCTAACCACAAAGCCACCACTGCCTTGTATATATAAATATACTCATATACACACATATACACATACCTTTCGCAGATGCAGATTAATTAAATGCAGGGGGCATTTCCAACAGGTAATAAATATCATACTAAAATATATATTTATAAAGTAAACATATACACCAGTACCACATATGATTAATATGACTCCAAGCTCAGAAACCAAAGGAGCAGGAGATAGACAAACCCTGAACTCAAACAACCATCACTGGTTGATGATGTCACAGTTGTACTGTCTGACTGGTCGTAAAATTGCATTTCAACTTTCCTATTCTTGACTTCTACAGTCCCAGGCTCAGTACCGACGGAGTCCCTTCAGAACACACCCTCAGAAGACAAGATCTACATGCAGTGGAAGGCTCCCAACGAGACCAACGGAGTCATCACACTGTACGAGGTCGGTCCAAATTCTATTCTCTCATTATTCTATCACTCAGTGGTAATGACACCATTAACATTAAAATGACACCATTTTGAAAATATATAATTGCAATTCACAATCATCACAAGTTATCATTACATAAATCAAAAGAAGAATTATGATTTTATTCTCCGATATTTTTGCACTTTATTTTTACTTCAAATTATTGTTTCTGTAAATATATGAACCTGTGTACTTTGTTACTAGTCTAGTATTAAATGCCAAATAAACTGAGTTTAATAAAAGGTCTGGAAACTCGACATGAACCTGTTGGAAGAAACAGCTCATGAATTAATTTAATGAAGCACAAGTTAAGTTTCAAGGTTAGGTTAAGGTCAAAGGTTCAGTTGACCGTTAGTTAGTGTAAGTTGATCCTATGTTCTCAGAAGTCATTGAACATAAACCTGGTGCATATGAGTGTGTGGTTATACAGAGGTTTATTTATGTTGAAGTAGAGCTGAGATCTCAGTCTGATGAATTATTGACCTGTTCTTCTCTCTGACTCTCACATCACTGTGTCCAGAAGCTACAACCCAACAAGACCCGCTCACACATTCAGTATGTGTATGTGTGAGTGTGTCTGTCTGTGGTGGTTGCCAATCTGAAATTTCATGCCGAGCTGTTTGAATATTATTTCTTCTCTTAACCATAAAAGTAAAAATGAAAAACAGTTCCCACAAAAACAGGGTCGTTGTACAAGACTCTTCTTCTCTCACAAACCCACGTAGAAAATACTCTGGAGCGTCTTCCATAAGTGCTGCCAATCATCAGCCCTGAGTCCAGGTCCTCCCACTGCTCCACTGACTCCCACTGATGCACAGCGCTTCCAAAATCACCCCGTCCATGCAGTGAGAAAAACCATACAATCGAGTGCAGGTATTAAACCCTGTTGAAGCCTGTAGAGGCTGAGCTTCAACAGGGTTTAATGCACTCAGATGGTGAATGAACCAATCATAGAGTTTTGATAATAATAATAACAATAATAATAATAATAATTATTATTATTCCTTCACTGTGACCATTAGTTTTTGTTCTGCCCCTGCTTGTATTTCTCAGTTGAAGTTTCACTTGATCCAAAAATATCTCTTTCCTTTTAATTCAGTCTAATTGTCCAAAAATAGTTACAATTCCACAAAGCCCCTTGGATGAGAAGTGAAATGTCTTTAAGAAACCTACTCTGTCCAGTTCATGACTGAGAACCGACAAATGCTTCAGTCTAATTGGTTTTCGTGTGGATCTTTTTACCAAAAAAGTTGTTTTTTATAATAACTGTATTTTGGAAAAAAAAAGATCCTTTTTGTCTTTTATAAATGCTTCATCTTTTTTTCTAAATGAAAAAACATCATTCCAGTCTGAAAAATGAATCCATTCTCTAAATATAAACGAGAATAAAATATCAAAGATTCTTTCATTTGATAATGAGATGAGGTTCTTTGCTTCAAACTTGCGTCATTACATATTTGCCCTGATTTGAGGTAAATACATGTGAAGTCATAGTGTTGTTTTCAGTGTTACTAGCCGTGAACGTGAGAAATCTCGGCCCCGTCTTCTTCTCTGGCAGTAACAATACCCCTATTATTTCCTAACCCAATTTTTACCTCCTGACATCATCCTCCTTATTTTCTCCCCAGTACAAAGACCAGTCCGTGGTCCACGTCTGATGCTGAGTTTAAAAACCCTCCGCAGCTCATGAAGCTTTTACTCCAATCATCAATTCAATTGTGTTTTGCGTCACTTTTATTAATACAAATCTCCACTCTCGGCCCTATTCGCCTGGCGGAGGCGTCGCCGCTCTGCATCATCTGTTAAACATATCAGAGGCTCCACACAATGTGCGACTATTAGAGATAATTACTATAATTACAGCTATTGGCAGGATTAAAGGCATGGTCTCCAACATCTAAAGGGCTTCTTGTTGTGCCCCGTCCTGCTCTGTTGTCTCATGTGTTGTTTTTTCTTTTTTTGCTCCTGCTTTCAAGTAGAGAAAACAGATGTATTACACCTTGTACAATAGGTGGGAGACTGGGAGGTTAGGGAGGAGGTGAAAGGGGGAGGAGAGAGATGGCTGGGGGGCAGAGGGTGGGGTGATGAATTCTGAGCAGGGACACAGAGAGACGAGAAGAAGACCTGAACGTTCATACATGGATGTGGACAGTGTGTATGTCACAAGAGCAATGATCAAATGAAATAATTTTCACTTTGAATTCGATCACTTCAGCCTCTGTGTCCACGTCTCTAATTGCAGCTAATTACAGGATTAAAGGAAACATCTGTGCGGGACATGAGTGGACCTCAGCTCTGGGACAGTCACGTCCTCTAACATCTTAACAGGGAATGAACGGAGAAAAAATGTATGTGACGGACGACAGAAAAACTAAAAAAATATAAAATACAAACTATAAATTAAAGATGTTTTTCTATTTTAATGAGGAGGAAAAAAAACTTGAGTAACATATTCTACCGTACCAACAAAGACAGTTCTGGGGCAGTAAAAATATTTTGTCTGGGTTTATTTAAAAAAACAAAAAACAAAAAAAAAAACAAAAAACAACTAAACTCTGTCCTGCACTTAACGAGTGAATGCAGTTTAAAAAATGATACGTTCACACATCTAAACTACAGATGTTTTTGATAAAACCTATTCCTTTAGTCCAACACTGACCTCTACGGTTGAGTATGAGGTCAATTCTAAACATTTCATTCTGTTCGACATCTACTGTCATCTATGGTCATTAAGGACACATTTACTGTGTGATATAATACTGTGTGAGTGAAATATTCTGTGTGTCTATTGTGTACTAAAGACACTGACAGCACCTACTGTTTAAGAAGTATTTTACTTCTAATTTTACTTTTAATTCTCTAAAAGCTAGTTTTGGTGGACCTGCACAAAAACAGTCATCAAACTAAATAGAGAAATAGAGTCAAGTCAGTAACGTCCAATGGTTGGAGTGATTTTACACCTGAGGCGACAAAATGACCAGGCTAAAGTTAAAAATAAAGTGAAATAAATATTTAATCATATAGGCTGAACATATTATATGTGTACAGCATATGTTGGTGTTCTATTTTTTTAATTGCACTTTGATCTACCAGCACTTCCTTCGATCACGATCTACTGGTAGACTGTGACCCACTTATTGGGAACCCCTGTTTTGGATCCCAGATTCATAGTAATACATGCAATTTGAGTAAGTATATTTTAAAGAGAGTACTTGATTTTACTAAACAGATTTTGCATATATTTCTGACTATTTATCTTTGATGATTGTATATGAGGCTGCATTCAGCGCTACAGTTGTATTAAACACTAAGCAAACAACGTCACACATGTGCACGTGTACGTGTGTAATGATGACTGACTGTAACAACTACAGCAACTAGAAACACCATGTCAACAGCTCCAGCCTGCTGTGCTACGGTGTATTCCGTGCACTTCCTGTAACTTCACCTTCCCGTTGACCCGTCCCATAATGCAACAGTTTTGACATTTGTGGTATTGCGGCACAGTGGAAGCATTCATACACACACGCAGTAGCAACGCAAAAAGGTCGCGACCTTGTCAAAACCTGCTCCAAACGCCCTCATCAGACTGTTGTGAGGTCTTTGTGAGAAAGCCCGGCCCCCTGCTGGTCCTTGGCGGAGTTCCTCCTGAACCCCTGCTGCATGAACAGGCGCTGCTGCTAACATTGATTAGAATGAAGCAGTGGAGCCAGTCATGAGATCAACACTGTGCTGATGTGTTATATGACCTGAAGTGTCATCACGACTCATGTCGCAAGTTCCCGCCGATTGGAGAGAACTAACACAGTACAGTGGTCCTGAACACGTGTTGTTATTTGGTCGTGTCCGCTGTTATTCTGCTGTGAACAACTATGAACATCTCTCTTCTCAAATAAGGAGATCAATACCGGTATCAACAGAATCGATTCACACAGAGTTGGTTTTTGTGCTGGAAAAAACACGAAAAAACAAGAAGAAACATACACTCAGGCCTTTTCTTTGGTTTGGCCACCAGGTATTTTGTAGAATCTCATTAGAAGAAGTGTAATGGCCAAAGGTGATGCTGCTATTGATTCACTCCACGGCTGCCTGAGTGATCAGAGCTGGTGAACTCACAGCAGTGTTCACAGCTGCACGGCTTACACTTCACAACACTTGGTAAAAATGAAAACAACTTGCATCAGGATTGATTCTTTTCTTAAAAGAACAAACTTCTGTTTCCATGTTTTATGGAGTTGAGTTCTTATGAATCACAGGACAAACAGACACCTGGGCTACTGAGACATATTCATGTCATATTAGTTCTACTTCGTTGGTTTGGTGTGGGGAATTATTATTAACAGAATTATTTTGGTCATAATTATGACCAGCAGCTGGTGAGTAGAGTCTGACCTTTAATGAAGTCTGTTGAAGCTTGGACCCAGTCACTGAGTGTAGATGAAGAATCTTCAGTAGAGCTGGTGTTGTGACTCTGAAAGACAGGAAGCAAGGAAGGAGGGGAGGAAGGAAGAAAACCTGGTGAAAATCAACAAAAAACTTTTTTTTTAATCACAGAGACTAAAATAATCAGATGAAGTCATTGTTCCTGCTAACAGTGACCTCATCCTGATGCTCTTCATTCCTCCATGTTTTTTTTCCCTGCTCTTTCTTCGTATTGTTTTTCATTTCTGTCAATACTGGCCTAAATTTAGAGTGGATTCAAGCCCATGAGCTGCTGACACCATTTACTCTGCCTCGCTCTTCTCAGTTGCCCTGCAGGGGAATGGCCTCTTTTTTAAAAAACCTGTGTGTACAGTGTGTACTTCTGCATACTAATGACCTGCTCCTCATTAGTATCTCTTAATTATGATGTAAATTAATGTCAGGATGAACAATAAACTTTCAATTCACTGCTAATTCAGAATTCTCTATTTGTGGAACATTAGGAAATAGAAGAGTTAGTTTCTAAACTAGGTGCTCCTGTACTAGAAAAT